TGTAGAATTAAAGGAAGTTTTTGTGTTTAGTGATTGTGCCAAATAAGTTTTTATATCTCTCATTTTAAACGAACTGAAGTTCCATGCCATTCAAAGAAGTTTCCCAAGTTAATTTTAGTTTTTACATTTAATGGTGTATTGTATTTCAAACTTTCACCTTCGTGTGCTTTGTAATATTTGGGTATTGTGTTCTGTCTTGTACCTACTAGTATATGCAGTCTTTGTATGAGACCAAATCTGCAAGATAAATTACATTTTGTCAACTTCAGAAGTTGCAGATATGTGAATGATTATTTTGTTTTCACAGTGGGAAGAATTGGGCCCTTAAAGTTACAATTTTAATGAGTGGTTTTTGGACTATATATTAACTTGGCTGAGTGATTGCTTGGTTTTGTTGCAAATATTAACAAATATTAAGTGTTGTTTTCAATAATTAATTGTAAAGCATCATTATATTTGGGACTGCTTCTTATGAAGAAAACATCTGGCAGACAGTTTTAGTTAATCACTTAACTGGTGGCTTGTAGTGTATGTAAAGGTGTTGCCCCAAATGCCACATACATTTAAATACTGTTTTACTGAACTTCTATTTAATGTCTGTATGAAAATGTAGTTCATAAATGCATCTAATATAAGGTGGTGGTTGTTGTTGTTTTGTTTTTTTGCGCACATGAGATCAACTATTTACTCAAACTATTCATCTAGCAAACATTGTTTAATTTACTGTATGGTATGATATATCATATGTCTATATAAAACTCAGAAACACCAAATATTTTCAATTGAAAAACCCTTTACAATTAACAAGCAGCTGTATGATATAGCAAAAATGTTTTACCAGTTTTATTTTATTTTTATTTTACTATTAAAAGCAATTTTTAGCTACTATTAAAAAAAGAAATTTGCCCAGTTGTTTTATAGTTTGGAAAACATCATTATCCATGCATACATTTTCAAAGTTTTAAATCTGCATATGATATTTTATTAGATACCTGTGTTGTCAGTACTGCTGTAGGTGCAAAATTTTATGTAAGGGTACATTTGTTGTAACATGGGTCTAAAATATAGTCCTTAAATTCCTTATTTATAGTCCTTATTTATAACCAATGTGACTAATTGGGGAAACCTGTGGTGTTTGGCAGAAGAATATGATTGTGTGATATTGACTGCAAAACTAATAAAACCACTAAACTGCCAAAACATTAACATTATTCAGTTTTTCCTGATTTGTATAAAGGCTATATCTAAAATTGTTTTGTTAACCAAGTTATCTGTAGATTTTGCTTTCAATTAAGGCCCTGTCCACACGAACACAGTTATTTTCAAAAGCGCAACTTTTTCCATACAGTTTGGCCATTCGTCCACATGCAGCAAAATATTGCTGCTAATAAATGTGCTAACAGGGCTTATAACATGTATACAGATACATGCAGAGCTCTCCCATTGTATTGCATTACCTGGTAATATACAATAATAACCTTTTATTCAGGCTTCTGATTGGCCAATATGGCTTTAAGGTTAGGGTTATATCACCACCTGTTGGTTTGGCATCCTCTTGACAGTGCTTCATAGCGTGTTTTTGCATTGTCATGTGGACAGAGATTTTTTTTAAAGCATGATTGTCTTTTTTAAACGAAAGAAGAAAAACTGCAAGCAGCGTTAAAAGGGCCCTCGCACCCGGAGCTACCTCCACCCGGGTGGCCTTAGCAAAAGAGTGAACGATGGCCAATATGCATTTAACCTTCTGGGGTCCGAGGGTGTTTTGGGGCCCTGGAGAAGTTTTGACATGCCCTGACATTTGTGCTTTATTCAGTTGCTTATAAACATATTCATGGCTAAAGTTTAATACTGTAATCAGTACAAACTGGGCTACAATAATATGTGAGCATGTATGTATGTGATTGTGTTTTTGAGAAAATGTTTATGCGTGCTTAACATTTTAAAGTCACTGAAATAAGGCCATAAAACACATACAGAACATTTATTCAAGACTTTTGAGAACTGGATCTTGTAGTCTAGAGTTTTTGCTTCAAAATTATGTTAAAATCATCTTACTCATTCACAGAAAACAATATATTGATTTACATTTTCTAAGACACTTTTTGTGTAGAAAGGGTGTATGCGAGGAGGTGTGAATGATCATGCATAATGCTGTAATTCACACCTGAGAAGACAAAGGCCCACATAATGAGTTGCATAATAGCTAAATCTTTTAGGAATAGCTAAAAGAGAGAATGTGAGGAAAAAAGAAATGTATATATTTTTTGTTAGTAGTTTATTTAGTATGATGGCGTTTTATTGCCAAGTTAAAAAAAATCTAAGATTATGAGATTAAAGTCGTAATATTTAATACAGACATGTAAGTAGTATGTAAACGGGAGCTTATGTCAACATGATTGATGACTTTGACCTTTTGACCCATAATTATATCCATATGCGACCTTTGACATCATCATAATTTCCATATGCGAAAACCGGCGTGCGTGAAATCCGACCGTCAACCTTGATCTCCGGGGATGACAAATGATGGTTTTGTAAGAGCCCAAGGATGACAGGTGATAAAGTAAGGAATGTTTTGAAGATATTATGGAGCATTCCCATATCCGGACTCGTCTGGGGACTCATCTGTGTCTTACGTGCCCCCTTGGTATCAGGTTGCTGTGTGTCATGCTCGCGCTGTCTCTCACTCGCTCCCCCCCTCTCTCTCACTATGGGGGAAAAACAAGCATTGATGAACAATAAATAAACAATTTTAACAGATTGCGAGATCGTATCACAATATGTGCGCTTTATCTAATTCAGGTGAGGAGTATGCTGATCTCACTAAATGGAAGCAAGCTGATTATAGTCAGCCTTCTCTAGTTATTTATTTTATTAATAGCCTACTTAATTGGCGTGTGTGTGTACTGATGTATATAATCTGACGGCAGTATTAAAAGTTTCTCAGCATATTAATGAAATTGGGGATAAATCAATAAAAATTTAAAGTGTCTTTTTCAGGGAGAGAACGTCTTCCTCGTGCAAGCATTTAAATTGAAAGAAGAAATCTTTCTTTGAGATCGTCTCTCTCCCCCTCACCATCTCACTCCCCCTCTGCCTGTGTGCTCATGGCTGTGTGTCGAGCCCCCACCGCTCCTGTCATTGCGGTCCGCTGCGAGAGAGAAAGCGGATAAGTTTGGCAAAAGTTTTAAATGCACCACATCTATCTCAAAGCGTGATATTACTTTAATGTTGAAATAAAGATTCCCTATTCATCTGATGTCCGGCGGTTCTTGTTTATATTTTAACTAAGTTTCTTATTTTAAGCATGGTGCTTACTTGGTCTACAATGGCTTAGTGGTCTACGCAGTCATGATGTGGCGCAATAGTTCGTTTTTGATCATTGTATCTAATTTCCGTCTCAAACGGGTTTTAAAATACGTTTAGCTAATATCACATCTATTTTAAATATTAATTAACCTTTAAATGATATAAAGCAAAGCAAAACATTTACATTAGGTTTAGTCTTCGCTAAAAATTAAAAAAACGTCGCACATTTTTACCAGGATCGGGGGGGAAAAATATATATATTTTAACAGGTCAAACGATAAGGACTATTGGGGACACGGACATGTCCAGTCATGTTTATGGAGACTTTACATAGACAATTTAATTCAATTCACATTAATTTCTTATAACTTTTGTTTTTCAAAACAAATTGTTGCAACGCAGTTTCACAGAAAATGAAAGTTTCTACATCATATTTACAAACTTTTATATTCATATTCATATTTACATTATATTAATTAATTTTATACTCTATCACCCCTAAACCTACCCATCACAGTAAACTTTCTGCATTTTTATATTTTCATAAACATAATTTTATATAATTTATATTGTAAAAAGCTGTTATGTTCATGGGTGTAAATTTTGCACAGGTCAATCATTTTGAGTAATAATATAAATCTGGTTTACGGGGACACTCCATAGACATAATGACTTTTACTGTACACACTGTACACCTACCATCACACAAGAATTATGCATACATACATGCAACCATGCTTGGGACGGCCCACATAATCGAGCAAAAATTGGTGGCCAGGGATGGCACCGGCCCCCTGAAATTTGGCTGGCCACCCCAGGTGCAGTTGCGGATCCTGGCATGTGTAGGCAGCTGCCTAGGGCCGCTTTCTTCTCTTCTTTATGCTTAATTTTACGCGGTTTCTATTGTGTGATCTTAATAACACATATCGAGAGCGCATAATGTTACGCGATCAATGTGCGCGAGGACGAATCTCTCCACTCCCAAGCAGATTTCCTTCACTCACACAAAACTGGACGTGTGCGTTTAAATATTGTTCTTTTATGAATTGGCTCTGCTCTCGCTCAGATATTACATGTACACGCTCAAACGTATTTTATATAATTTATATTGTAAAAAGCTGTTATGTTCATGGGTGTAAATTTTGCACAGGTCAATCATTTTGAGTAATAATATAAATCTGGTTTACGGGGACACTCCATAGACATAATGACTTTTACTGTACACACTGTACACCTACCATCACACAAGAATTATGCATACATACATGCAACCATGCTTGGGACGGCCCACATAATCGAGCAAAAATGCTTTACATGTCTTGAAATAATAATTTCTGAACATTAAACATTGACTATCAGTATTTATTCACCTGTTTCTCGTTGGCGATCAATGTGCGCGAGGACGAATCTCTCCACTCCCAAGCAGATTTCCTTCACTCACACAAAACTGGACGTGTGCGTTTAAATATTGTTCTTTTA